GATCTCCGGAATCTTATTCAATCTTTGACGATCTCCGTAATCTTATTTAATCTCATTGACAATACATTCCCCCTGTGAACCAAAAAAATGACATGCTTATACTTGTGAAAGTGTGCCTGTAACTGTACATAGGTTCCTTCATATGATTATACTGTAATAAATGGCTCCCTTAACTTTTGTTTTAATGAACTGAAATTTTGTGTCTGTTAATGTACCTATATTGATCTAACAAATGAAGGAAAGAAATGGACATGTGGATATTATAGCATAATCTTTGGAAAGAAGCTCTTTACAAGTTTAATACGAATTGAATATGCAAAAAATCTGAGACAGGCCAAATTTGCTGTTGAAAGACTGTTTATCTTTAGAGCATATAGTTTTTTGTGAATTGGGAAAGCTAAATAGGCACCTTATATTTTGGTAACAAAAGCTCTAGCATGAAGGAGATTGTAGTTTCTAAACTTCGGGAATGTTCAAAGATAGATATGAAAAATGGGAAGGTGATAAAATCTCATGAGGTATTCTTGCAGGAAGCGTAGGCCAATTCTCTAGGCGATAAAAGTTGAGAAGGATGATTACATCAGTTCATATATCATGGGCCTTCTTGTATGTGACATGAGAATTCTTTCCTGAAAATGCTCCAATCGTTTCTCCTTTTAATATTCTATGTAGTTGCTTTTGCATGGGCATTTAAGGATTATTTGTAAAGGTGGACTTGAGATTCTCTGATTTTATATTTTATGGGAATTTGATTTCTGTAGTTTTAAAGTCCTGCACCATTTACTAAGTTGTCCCCATACATTCTATAACTCCTCCAGAACAAGCTAAACAGATTCTTATGGTTGGTTATAAGTTTATTCAACCGTATGTTCTTAAGAGACCCTGAATGTGAAATAACTTTTAAGAAAAAAAAGAGTCCAACTTGCTTATTATGCCAATTCCAAATAAAAGTGAAATGTAGTATGTATATCTGTGTGTTTGGAATAGGCCCCTAGATTACTCATGTAAATTTTTTAGATTATTTGGTAAAATAGATCTGTACGTAATAATATATATTTTGCATTGTTTTTCTTGATATTTTATATTTAATGAGAATTCTGAACAATACTTTGTCATCTGCAGAAACTATAAATAGGTCAAAAGGCTCCCAACTTTTGAACAAACTTCACCTTGAAAGACATCTTGCTCCCATGGTATATTTTAATTGGTCATTGTTACTTCTTTTCTATCATAATAATAATCAACTAACTTGGTAATCTTTATTCTCTTTCTGTGATTATGTCCTCAGACCACATCCATGGCTGCAACTTGTTCTTTGAAATCTGTGGCCTCTTCCTGCCAAGTCAAAGGAGATATCTTATCTAACATGCTAACAGGAATACTTCCTGCCAATCGCTCATCTTTAATGTCAGACAAGCTTGTTCAGGATTCAGCTTTGAAGTGTTCAACTAATTTGAAACATTTGGATAAAAAAAATTTAACCACTGGACTGAATAGCACACTATCTAACAAACAGAAAATAGTTAAATTGACCCCAGAAGTATCGTTAGATGATAAAGATAATGAACCGCTAGCACCTTATGCTTCGAAGAAGCGTAAATTATTTATAGAAGGACCGGATCAAAGACAACTTCATAAGAAGTCTGATGAGGACTCTACTTATTCAGCAGAACAGAAGTCTCCACAATTTTCTAGGACTGGCAGCTCTCAGAATCATCAAGCTACTTGCAATGCTGTGGAAAAGAGAGGATCAGCTTTTCTGGTCCAGGTGAAGTACTTGTATCCCTTCGCCGTTCTATTTCTGTGTGGTTTTTGCAGAGTCTCTACAGAATTGTATTTTACTTGTCCTGATTATGCATGCAATTGATTTGCATTTTGCACAAGTACATTATTTTGCCTAATCATACGACTATGCAGTGAAGAAATTATTAGAGGTGTCAATGTCTAATGTATTACGCTAGTGGCGGAGCCAGGATTTTTGATCCTGTGTTTTGCAGCCACAAGCAGTAACCTTTCTCACTAAGCTATACAAACATTCATGTAACTAAACTAAAATATGTGCTATATATATATTGAAAACATTCTAGAAACTATTTTAAAATGTTACCGGGGCAGTTGCCCCTCCCCACCGTCTATTATATCGGCAATAAAATGAGAAAAGTTTTCATGATTCTAAGAAATGAAAAACGTGGAACACAATCTATCAATTAGAATCTTTCAAGAAAATCAAAAAACACAGCGAGTTCCAACAGAGTGATTTTGAGCTTTCGTGTTCTCTCTTCCCCCACAAAGTTAAATATGATCAATAAGTGCTACATTCTCGGAACATTCTATTAAATATTTACATTGATGTCTGCGTTAATGACCCTAGTGGTGTCATTAGGGTGTCTGTCATAATAATGAGTGTTGTTTAGTTTGAAAAATTAATAATGGATACTAATGGCTTCACGAAAATTCAGCAACAGTTTATGTATATGAAGCCGGGAAATTATTGGGGTGAACAAATGACATTTAAGAAACCTTGGGATGGCTTGGCCCAAAACTTTTATTTTTTTAATTTGCTTTTCTTGTAATAACTCAATTCTGTCAATATTTGGCTCTTTTGTTGGAAGTTGAGATCTCTAAAACTGCATGACTTACAGGTCCGCGAAAAGCTCACCGATGCAGAATATAAAGAATTTGTGGGCTTTATGAAGGCGCTAAAATCTAATGCATTGAAAATACGCCACGTTTTGCAATCTATTGCAAAATTATTCTCTCTTCCAGACAGGCTCTCGCTACTGTACGGGTATGGAGTTAACAAGTGATAATTTCCTTATTGGTACATTTTTATTAGGCATACAGTCATGCTTTCATCAGAACTTGCCAGTTTTTTCCAGTTTTATTCAGTTCCTAGGCAGTCAGCATTGCATGAGCCAGATATAATAATTCTTTTTGTAATATCATCCGGATTTTGACTTCCTTTCCTAGTATTATAATGATTACATTGATAGGTCTAGCTAACTACATTGATTGAATCAGTTCAGAGTTTAATAAAATCAACTTAATTGGTCACCTTAGGGATACTCCCATCTCCTTTAGAAAGATCTCCCGTACTAAATTTTTCTTTTTCATTGTTGACAGATTCAAGGATTATGTTCCTGCAAAATATAAGTCTTTGTATGAGCGGTACTTGGGGGCTAATCATGAAGCAAAGTAAGGAACTTGTGTCCCAAGTGAATAGACATTTTATATTCACATTTCTAAACTGATGAAGATTCTCTCCTAGTATTATGAAAACTCCTTGAGATTAATAATTGATTAAAATTAAAGTTCTGATAAGATAAAAGTGGTAGTTCCTTTTCTGGCTGTGTAAATACTAACTCCTCTCTTAAGAATTAAATAGCAATCATGTAGAAAAAAATCACCTGATGAAGCAATGACTGCCTCTGGCAAAATTTATGGTAATTCTATATGCTAATTTCTAACATCAAACTAACCCTTATCCCATATAAACTTGGGGTTGGCAACATGATTTCCTTTTCGCAACTTCAAACTAGATCCTTAGCAGTCTATCCCTCAATCTTCTAACCCGTTCTATTAAGATCATGTCACTCTATTTAGACCACTTAAGTCATCATTTTCTTGATATATGCTAATTTTCGAGAATATACTTTTTTCTAGTGATTAGGATTGCTGTGTATATGGCTGCTTTTGTTTCTGAGTATCAACATTTACTTTATCAAACAGAAGTTGTATTGGAAGTGTATCCAGGAAAGAATGACCCATTAAATAAACATCTGGCTCGTAGAATCTTATCAATGATTGGGAAATTAATGTAGTGAAAGAACATATCAGAAAGAGAAATAATTAACTGGAAAGGGAATGAAAGGGAAAGATGACGACTTATCTTTTGATGCACTAGTACTCACTTTCAGATGTTCTTGAGTAACGAATTTGTATTCAATAAAATTCTCGAAGTAACTTACAATCTGAAGTACCTGAAATGCTAAGCTACATAACTTTGTTGCATCCCGACTTCATTTGCAGAGTACCTGACAATAGCATTCCTAGAGAATTATAATTTTGCCTATCTGCGATGGATGAAGTTCAGTATTATTGCAGTATTCGTCTGCCAAGGGGATTCCAGTAGCATGGTACGTGCTGTTCCATAGCAGTATTTCTTGTATAATCTTACAGTATGTTTGTTACAGTAAAGAAGTCGAAATCTTTTCTATTATAGTGTGTATATGCAAACGTGCTCTTAATGTTCAGTAGAAAAATGCATAAATTGAATTGTGGCCCCCGTCGTGCAGTGGTGTTTGCTGCTATCTGGTGCTAAAGATAGAGTTTTGAGTAGCCACGGGTTAACAAGCAAGAATTTGAGATGCAAAATTTCAATTCAAATAATATTCCTTCTAATATTGCATCAGTTCGCGAAGGAGAGTTGAGGTATTGCTCTCGTACGCCCACCTCGGTCTTTTCATTGTACAAGTTATTTTACATTCATATAATGTTTTTTAGATGTATCATTGTTTCAAACAAGAAACCACATTAGATTGTGATTTATTTCATGAATCTTGTATATTAGCCTATTTGCCATTGAAGAAGTTCTTGCTCATTGGTAGCAGTTATTTCACCCACTGAATGAATTTAGAAATAGGTACTCTTTTTAAATTTTATTCTCGATATTTTATGATAATGAACATGATAACTTTTTTGTGTTGCTATAGCCAGTGTTCTAAAAAGTGTAGCGAGGTGTGAAGGCCAAGTTTCGGACTAAGCGAGCTTAGACATTTTCTAATTCAATTTTATTTAAAAAATTTAAATCAATCTAAAAATTATTTAATAATTAAAGAAAAAGTGCGACTAGGCACGAAAAAATTATAAAAAAACAAAAGAAATAATGAAAAAAGTGCAAAAAAGCGTAAGGAGTGATGTTTTGCACTTGCTTTTCGTCTAGCCACTGTTTAGAACACTGACTGTAACTATAATGTTAAATTTTTTGCTTCGGCTTTTTGTTGTGTGCTTGCAGGCTTCTGCGTGTCGGATCCACTTTTTCAAAAAAAAAAAAATGTAAAAAGTTACTTACAAACAAGAACTTATTTCTAATTTTAATTAATAGAAATTAATTATTTTAGAACTTAATATAGTCGAAATTATATATCACGTTAACAAAAAATAATTGCAAATGAGTCGTAATAAACAGCCACGCCAAATTCATTTAACTCAATCAACCTTTTGAAGTTCTCATGGTCAATGGTACATAAACAATAAACGGGTCGAGCTCCTGGTTGGTCTTGAACTTTATATGGTGCTTGCTAAAAGTCTCGATTTTAAATTGTAAAAAAAAAAAAAAAATTGGTCTTGAATTATGTACATTGTTAGTCACTAAAATAGGGTCGGCATTTAATTTTCTCCAGCTTTGCATCATCTTTAGGGATGTCAAAATTCCATGCCTCGAATGGTGAATGGAGTAAGGATAGAGAACATGGTCATCAAATTAGGGGTGTCCAAAAGTCCCGAACCGGACCGAACTGAACGCGAACCGAACAGAACCGAATCGAGTGGTTCTTTATAAATTAAATACCCGAACGGGTACCCGAATCGAGAACCGATGGGTTTGGGTCGGGTCTCGGGTCTAGACCAAGAACCGAAGAACCGAATAAGAACCGAAACTAAATAATTTTTTTATTTTTTATATTGAATTAATTAAATTATTTTATTTTTTTCTAAACAAATTAGCAAATTAATTAAATAAATCAATAAAAAAAAAAAAATGTAAAAAGTTACTGACAAACAAGAACTTATTTCTAATTTTAATTAATAGAAATTAATTATTTTAAAACTTAATATAGTCGAAATTATATATCACGTTAAGAAAAAATAATTGCAAATGAGTCGTAATAAACAGCCACGACAAAATACATTTAACTCAATCAACCTTTTGAAGTTCTCATGGTCAATGGTACATAAACAATAAACGGGTCGAGTTCCTGGTTGGTCTTGAACTTTATATGGTGCTTGCTAAAAGTCTCAATTTTAAATTGTAAAAAAAAAAAAGGTAATTGGTATTGAATTATGTACGCTGTTAGTCACTAAAATAGGGTAGGCATTTAATTTTCTCCAGCTTTGCATCATCAATTAGGGATGTCAAAATTCCATGCCTCGAATGGTAAATGGAGTAAGGATAGAGAACATGGTTATCAAATTCTTTAAATCCTGGATTTTTTTTTTTTTCAATTTAAATCTTATTTAAAAAATAAAGAGTAAAATTAAATAAATAGAATAATTAAATAGAACGGTAAATAGGGATTTTTATCCCATCTTGTCCCGCTCTCGTCTCGTTCTTAGTAGGTCATATCTATCCACGTTGATCATAAAAGTTCCTAAATTTTATACAGTTCTTGCAAAAGATTCATAAATTTTAAATTATAAAAATTTGGACGACTTGCCATGTTAGTCACTAAATAGATTATGTTAATTTCAACTATCGATAAGTTGGATTGGCAAATGAAAGTTTGATGTGTTTGTAGTCCACCTTGACAAAAAAATAAAAAATTGAGATTAAAAGTAGGTGAAAAAAGCCAGATTTCCATTAAAAATAAAATAAAATTGTTGACCTAAGAAAAAATAAAAATTATATAGAATGGGCAAGTAGCTAAGAAAATGGGCATTAATAATGGTGATGAGAATTTCTTTAGAACGCATGCTGTATCACCTGCCTTAAATTATTTCTCTTCTGTATCCAAGTTTATTAACACTCTTTGTCATGCTTATTTTAAAATATAGCACCAGAATTTGTTCCCCTAATTCAATTATAAAACATACATAGGATTCCATTTATATAAATGTATTGTCAAGCTTTGACCCTATTATAAAACAGAATATGAAGAAATCACGTTCGATACATTGAATTAAATCGATTTATTTTCTTCTTTTCGATTCTATCAGATAAAAAAACTTGAGTAATGTTATTCATCCTCACTTGGGGTTACAAACACAGTTTAGGTGGCGTTTATGTGGTATTAAATGATAGGTTAAATTAAATAAGTCATTTCATTTCACATTTCATTTAACCTATCATTTAATGTCACCTAAATTGTGTTTGTAACTTTACTGGGGATGAATAACATTACTCATAAAACTTACATGCACACAAGCTCGAAAAAATAATTAATGATTATCTATTGCTGGCACCAGCAATAAATTAATTAATGATTATTTAATGGTGAATTTAAGTAGATTTGCATATATTCCTACTCACACAGTTGTCGAAATTTCTGGGTATTAAATAGGTTTTAAAAGCCAATTTTAAAGGAGGTCTCATGCCCAATTAATTAGATGATAATTTATATCAATGTGATTGATAGATATAATTATTTTTATCTTTTTTTGTGCGGTAAATAGATATATGTGAATTGGAATAAATTTCAGAATGTACAGAAAAACCATTTATAATGAATTGTTAGTAGGTACAAATTGATCTATGTCAAAGGACATAAGAGTTTTCTCGTATAGTGAATTAGATTGGACTCGATGTTGCTAAACCAAGTTAAGGAAAAATTGTAACAAACTTTGTTATTCTGTCTAATTCATCGTATCGAATATTTCGTTCTATCATTCGTGTCACTTACTAATTATGATGTTTTTTTTTTGAGTTAAAAAAAATATAAAAAGGGATTCTAGCTGGATTATTTTTGAAATTTACGAGTTACTTCAACGTCAATACAGAATAGTCAACAAAAGAGAGAGTCAGTAATATCCAAGGCATCATACCTGCCAAGAAAATGAAATCTGGAAAGCATCTTCCATTTCTTCTAAATCAAGAACAAAAGAGCACCACCATATAACAAATTAATTCTGGTTCGACTACACGAATTGTTTACAAGACCCGTTCGCTAAATCCCTTCGAAAAAATCTAACGAAAACGATACAAGAAGAAGACATCAAACGAAGGATTAATATTAGCTTATGATGATCAAATCATTAATTCAAAGATTCTCAAAAATTCTTGATGGAACGGCAAAACGAGCCGAAAAAGATCGAGAAAGTTCATCGGGATTTGCCCACATTAATCCCTGATCAAAATTCTGTGCATAAGAATATGGATCATAAGCGAATCTCATTGAATTTGAGTAATTGAACTTTCTTTTCTTCTCTTTCTTGATCTTCCTCCATAACATTGTCCAAATGGGAGCTTTCGAGTTGTTTACCGACAAATCATGCGGCGTGAATCGCTCGTAGTCTCGACTGGACTCGAGTCGACAAGCCCGTAGGACGTCGTCGTTGCAAGAGCAGCACCAATTTCCAGCACCCATTGTGAAGAGAAAACCAGTAGTGTTGTGAATATACAGGGAGTTGGAGTTGGTGTTTTATAGAAAAGGAGAATAAATGCATGGATGGACTAATTATAGATAGATAATGATGTATCTCTGACTTTGTACACTTCTCAGTCAATACTTTTTTGCTTGTGAACGAGTGTGAACAATATACCTATAGGGAGGATGGACATGTGACTTTTTTCAATTTTCAGGGGCAAACTTGTCATTTGGTTCAAGTTTGATTATATTTTGGCAAAGTTGCATTATAGTCCCAACTTGTTATCGTAATAGCAAGTTCATCCCTACTTTTAACCACTGCTCAACGACAAAAACTATCCAAATCTCCATCAAATCGTCGCATTGCCCTCCCTGGCCAATTTTACAATCGGGCCAATATCCATAAATTTAGCGACTTAAAGAAGATCCCTTTCATTTGTTACCTTTAGGTGCTTTTGCCACAGGTCGTGCCTTGTTGCCTCGTCATTACGCGATCACAATACATAAAAATGAATAATATGTAAAATTAATGTTAGAAAAATGTAAAGAATACGTTAAGAGGATAGTTGGGTTATTAGCACAAAACGTCTCTACATTTCAATTTTTTGCATTTTCACCATATTTCCACGTTTTATTGTGGAAATCATTATTTTCATCAATTTCTCAATAAAATGACAATTATACCCTCTTACTTAAATAAAACAAAAATAAAGAAAAAGGAAAGGAAAGAATAAATTGCAACCATACTCCCAAAATTTTCAATAAAATACAAATAAATCCCAAATAAATAATTAAAAAATAAAAAACAAAAACAAAAATAATCCACTTTCTCTTTCACCGCCACTTTCACCCGTCAGAAACACCATCCAACCACCACCTTAGCCACCGAAAACCATCACCACCATATAGCCCTCCATCCCGTCGTCACAATGCACTAAGCTGCTCACCCAAATCCGACCAGACCTGACTGCAATTGACAGCCAAAACCTCCAACTCACAAACATTAAACCCGATGACACCATGATTTTCAACGACTTTCACAGTTGTGGCTTACCACCAAGAAGTTCCCCTCATCAAGACGACCTAAACCATGGTCAAACATCAACCAAAACAACCTCCAATCGATCAGTTGCGCCTCAAAAAAAAAAAAAAATTACAATCGCGATGCGTGAAGAACCAAATCTACCTCCTACAATTCCTGTCGCCCAAAGCACTGGCTATCCAAATTGGCCTATGTTGAACCTCCAACAGCCCGAATCGACAATGGGTAATGATCAAGTTGTTCCAATTATCCTTCCAATTGATTCAATTTTTAGATCAAAAACAACCACAAACCGTGTGCATAGTGAGGAATATTTTCACAAAATTGATGGGTTCCGCGTATTACAATCATCCAATTCACATGGGAGAATTCAAATTGAGACACAAACATCGATGGGTAAAATGCCAATTGTATCAATTACACAATCAATTATTCAATTTCAATTATAAGTTACTACTTGTGGGTGCTAGACTTGAGATTCGAATTCCAAGTTTGAAGGTGGTGTGATGTGGGAATTAGAATGGTTTTGTTGAATGAACTGTATATAGGGGTTCGTTGAAAATTACAGAGACGGTGGGCGAGCAAGTTAGTGCGTTGTGACGACATGATGGATGGCTATATGGTGGTGGTTTCCGATGGCTAAGGTGGTCGTTGAGTGGTGTTCCGGCGAGTAAAAGTGGCAGTGGAAGAGAAATGGGGTGATTTTTGTTCTTTTTTTTTATTTTTTAATTATTTATTTGGTATTTATTTCTATTTTATTGAAAAAATTGGTAGTATGGTTGCGATTTATTATTTATTTTTCTTTTTATTTTATTTAAATAGGAAGGTATAATTGTCATTTTATTGAGAAAATTGATGAAAATGACGATTTTCACAATAAAACATGGAAATAGGGGTGAAAATGCAAAAAAATGAAACATAAGGACGTTTTGTACACTGAACTCCAAACATATGGACGTTGTATGCTAATAACCCTTTAGAAATTTTCAAGAGTATCCGTATAATTAGGCTAAGTATATACCACAGTTTTTAATAACTAGATCATATTTTAATTGCATGAAATGTTCATAACCTTTACACATCATCATATTTATGTCTCATACTTTTTTCATTGTATTTTTTTTTTCTCAAATTAATATAAATTGTTCCTTATTATGATTTCTCCACAAAATTGTTCATTTTAAAGCACGTCAACAATCTTTTTGAACAAAGCTATAATTAAGGGAAAAAAAAATCTGATTGCTAATTGTTAAAATAGGAATGTGATGAGAAAAAAATTAATGATATAAGTATGATAATAAATAAATGTTAATGACATTTAATGTAATTACATGTAGTATGTTTATAAAAAAGAATTGTTAATTGCGTCACAAAAAAGAATTGTTAATTGCGTCACATTTTAATTGCAGTAAATATTTTCATTTTTGCATTTAAGCTCCCAACTTTTTTAGTTGTATTCTTATTCTTGGCATTAAATTAAATAGCAGATCCTATCTCTATTGACAATTTCTATCCAAATATTCTATTGACGTCATTTGAAATAAGAAACAAATCTTTTTACATCATGTTAACATATTTTTTGGATGTCGTCATGGATAAAATGTGTTAATTTATAATAAGTTGAAGATAGGAATGTGCCGAAAAGTGTTGAGGATATTAGTGCAAAAACGAGCAAAGATTGAAATCATTTGTTGCAATTTACCAAAAAGTGTGGTGCCAATATAATTACTCATATAGCCCTTGTTTGGTACACATTAAAATATGATTTTAATCTCAAATCAAAGTCAACAATTAATTTTGAGCACCTAACTCATTTAGCTTGGACGTGATATTACGATTTTGGATCTTCAAGCGGATGAGATCTTACCATGCAGGGTCGTAGACCTAGAATTAGGCACAGTTTGGGAGTGATTAAATTTTTCTACAGTAAATCAATTCTCATTTTCAACCACACTTCTTCAATAAAATAATATTTTTCATCACATCAATAACTTTTTCTTCTTTTTCAACCATACGTTTCCCATCATTTCATTATTCAAAATCAATTATTCCCCCAAAAATCTCTCCCTAACAAGCTCTTAATTTCTGACGGAGTAAGATGCAACTTGATCGTTCGAACAACTTTGAATATTTCATTTGCATATTAATTATTTGATATTGATATTTATCATACTCTTCGCTAATCATAAGATCAAATTGACCCCTTGATTGAAATTTCTTAAGTTTCCTTGTCAATGGTGTACTTGTCCGATAATTATATTTTCATCACACTTTTAATTAATCACGTCACATTTTAATTATAATTATTAAGTCATTAATATTTTCTAATTATTTTCTAACTTTTTTCTATGCATTTTTATTCATTGGCACATCTCGCATTCAATAATAGTTCTCGTTCAAAAATCAATTAGGATGACGTAAAAAGATTTATATTCTCATCATATTGAAAAAAACAATAAATGCAAAAGTGCCACAATGTATTCTTCGCTCAATTTAGAGCACGCAAACCAAATGTTTGAAATAAATCAATTTCAAAGACGGGATGTACGAAGTAATTGAATGTTGAATATAAGAATTCGACGAGAAAAAAACTAGGGATATAAGTTTTATACAATAAGAATCATAAGATTAAGGACTTTAAGTAGAGTTAAAAATGTATTGCAACAAATAAAAATTAAGGTAGGGGTAATAATTAGCCTATCTTACTTAGAGATAAGAAAGATGTATGATTATATATCGAACACCAAAATTTGTTAGTTCCATCATTTTTTAAAAAAAAATTATTAAAAAAGTCAGCATGGTTTAAAAAAGAAAAAATATTAATAAATAGAGTGGCGTAAACGACCCCTTGTTCTCTTTCTTTAATTTTTAGGGATAATTGTAGCAACGGTATCAAATCTTTCACTTTTTGCAAACTTTAACATAACTTTCACTTTGTACCACCTCCACCTGCAGTTCCAAACCTTTCAAAAATTAACACACATGGTCCAAATGGATGATTTTTGTTAGTTTGACGATTAATTAACCCAAAAATAAAATTTTGACTTATTTTGACCAAACGAAAAAGGGTAAAATGATAAAATCATATTTTTTCATAACCACCCCAAAACAACTTCTTCTTCATTATCTTCTCCGCCCCATCCCCACCAACCCCACCAAGCAAAATAGGAAATTTTCGGGATTGATTCCCAATTTAGCAAGTTGGGAAGTATAATGAGTTCGTAAACTTGCAATAGATGAATCTCATTTAAATATGAGACAACTGTGAGAAGGTCTAATGGGGTTTTGGTGGATGTCGAGGGCAGGCGGTGATGGGGCTATGGTGATGGATTTTTTGGTTGGGTTTAGGGGGTGAGGTGTAGGGGTGAGTATGTGAATGAAAAGATGAACAATGATTTTTTTTTTTTTAATTTTAACTCAAAGTTATCATTTTACCCTTTTTAAAATTAAAAAAATTATATTTTTTGAGTCAACTAACGGTTAAACTAACAAAGATTATCCAATTGGACCCCAAGTACTAATTTTAGAAAAGTGTAGGTTACAATAAAGTCTGCAAAAAGTGAAAGTTTGGGACTGCTGCTGCAATTATCCCTAATTTTTATGTACACATAAGTCTTCCAATACCATTAATTTTCCCATCTTTCACTCTTTTTTTCTCCGTCCTCACTTTCTTCATTGATTTTGAAGTAAAATACAATTTTTTGTTTTCTTCCAAAGAATGTGATTTTTATTTAGTTCACAGCATCAACAAAGTGGACCAGAATACGGCCTAGCGCAAAAAGTTTCTAATTTTGTGGAAGGGTAAAATTTATGGATCAAGTATTATCTTTGCCAAAATCAAAAATCAGGTAGTAAGTTTCAAAATTGCAAAAATCAGGTTTTTATTAATTAATTAAATATTTAATTGTAATATAATATAATTAATCCCACCCCACCTATTCCCTACTGCTCCGGCGAC